AAGCAATACTATGTAAATGTTAGCACATTATTTTATTTTTAAAATTTTATCGTCAATGGTGAAGTTGTACAGCAATGTCACCCGGTGAAACACACACACACACACACACACACACACACACACACACACACACACACACATACAAATATATAATTTAACTTCGTAATTGGGAATTAAATTGTATTTAGGAAATGTTTGGAATACATTTTTAACCTCGCCGCGAGCAACAACAGAAAAGCCGCCTTTTGGGCTGGATCAGTCCTGTCCGAGACAAGAATGTCGTAGTGCGGTACTAGCCTTAGTGTTTTAGCGTCTGTATGCTTCTTATGAAGTTGGGATTGTTTCAGAATGTTCTCAGGTCTGCTGGGATAATAGTATATATTTGTGCAGCGCGTTGAGCTTGCTGTTGAGCGGGGATTTGCGCTATACAAGCTATCTACTATTATTAACACTGCGTTTTTCTTTGCTGTCGCCGATCTGAAGTGTACGCTACCAATGTTTGTCTGTTGATTTGTTTTGTTTTGGTTTTGTTTTGGCTGTTGTTGTTTGTTTGTTTTTGGTACCGTAAGTGTTTTACGGCGCCCGAAACTGCATAAGGTCATTATTATGAGTGTGCGGGACTAATTAAACATTTTCAGTTGGAAGGAAATTTTGAATTTTGTCCGGGCGGCGGCCAAAGCCTATTCTTATCAATTTTGGACCACCAAGGGATTTTAAACGTGCGCAATTTGCACACAAGACCTCCAAGAATTTTTACCCTTGTCTGAGAAGGCTAGGTATAAATCTTTCCTACCATAAGATCAGGGGTGTGGCTGAAAGACACCAGTAAGAAGGAGCCAAGGAGTAGCAGGTGAAAGGCTGCAAAAAGAGTAAGGAGCGTAGAGGAGGGTGCAAAAGAGGTGAGAGGGGTGGTGGCAGAAAATGGAGACTAAAGCAGACGACAGAACATAGCTAGAGAGCAGGAATGGGGGTGAAAGGAGGCGATTTTAAAGTAAAATATTGCTCTTCGCTATCCGGATATTGAATGGGAGGCGAACACATTAACCTCAAGGCCACGAGAGCCCCCTAACGGAGTTTATAATGTGCGCTTGAAAATCACGGTTTTGCCACATAAACATCCCAGGAAACGACAGAGAAGACACCGTTGCCAAGAAGGGAGCATCACAAACACAACCTTAAAACCCAGTATCTCAACAGACAGTCAAGAACATCATCAAATGCAACACCAGGGAACAGTGGCTGAATGTGTGGGCATTGGGTCAAACTGGAAGAGCTGTATTTACACACACGACTGCTCCCAACTCAAAAGCTGCACTAAATTCCCTGAGTAGAAGAGATCAAGTCACTATTTTTCGCTTGCGAACACAACACATCCCATTGAATTCCTACCTAAATAGGATCCACAAGGATACCCGTCTGACTGCCCGCTATGTGACTGCCAAGACAACAGTATCACACCATCTTTTTTCCTGCCCTGCACTTAGCGACCCGTGTAGCACCTACCTACCAGCTCCCCAGGAAATACTTTTTACATCGACAAAACACAACTGATAAAAACCTGTAAATTTTTTGCCATATCGACAGGTCGCACCCCTCCTATCTCATCCAAACATCTCCATGGACACAAAAAGACAGCTTATCACAAGTGCCAGACCTGACATTAAGTAAAATCCATGAAAGCAAAATCACCTCATGGGAAATGAAATGTCTCCGCAAAACCCTTAACATCTCAAGACGAGACAGGCAGAGAAATGAAGAGGAAAGAGCAGCTATCGCCATTGAGTCCTGCCTGCATTGTATATAGAAAGACAGAAAATAAAAGGATGTGGCCACCTGTTACGTATGTCACCTGGCCAGCCAGCCTCGAGAGCCTACAACATCAAGCACTCAGGCTATAAAGGAAGAGGAAGGCCACGCAAAAGGTGGATCGAGGGCGCCAAGGAAATCCTGAGAAAACATTATATCACAACTGAAAGAGCTGCGGAGCTGGCCTACCATAGATAAAGGTCAGGAGTAAAGTAAGTAAATCGACAGGCCAAAGGGCTAGAACCCAGTTGGCCGCTGGATCGGAAAAGTAAAGTAAAGTAGGTCTGTTTGCGGTATATTTACCAAATCCATGCATTCTTCGGAATATCAAGATCCTTCTCATCCGAATCGGAATAGATTTCATCCCTCAAGGCCTATTCTCGGACCTTTTTTTCGGATTTGGTAACCTAATTATTTTGTCGCGCTGCTTTCTCCGCTTAAAAAAAATAAATTTTGATGATGAATTTTTGAATGTGTTTTTTATATTTTGTGTGTGTTTTTTGTTTGTTTCGTGTGTGTGTGTGTGTGTGTGTGTGTGTGTGTGTGTGTGTGTGTGTGTGTGTGTGTGTGTGTGGGTTAAATGTCGAAACATCCTGAATTATCAAAGTGACTAATGATTGCTGCTGGTTGGAACAAGGTCTCCGTAAAACTGTTCAAGATAAGATCAAAGTGCTTTTTTTAAATTCATAGGCCCACTCCACTAGCCTAGCAAAATACAACTTTGGCTCATAAAATTTTTAAGTCTATGGTAATTGGCAATTGCTTTTCGTAATTGCTTTTCATTTTTATGAGAGATATAGGATTTATAAGTGTAGAGCTACTTTCTAAACTGAAATTTCTTAAAAATAACCGAGCAGCATTATTCTGGACTACTTTTAGTTTATTTGTTTTTGAGTGAGAAAGTTCCGGTAGCGAGTCGTTACAGTAATAAGCCAAGTCAAGTTTAAAATGGACTAAGGCTGTCACGAAAGTAGCTGTACATTGGTCACTAATAATGAGATGTTAAATTTTGCTCATGTTACTTATATACAGAAATATAACCGAATCAACTGGTTCACATGGGTAGACATTGACAAATCATGAGGGCATGTAAAAGAATGTTTCAAAGTTCTTAGCTTTCCGAGGAAACAAAATAGTGCAGCCACCAATCATCATAGAGCTTTCAGTCATTAGCATCAACGTGTTTTCCTTCACCCTCTCATTGATACATCTGACACATTTATTTTCAACAAAAGAAAAGACACCAAAGTTTTGAAATGTGAATAATCTATAAATCTGTGCATCATCTGCAAAAAAAAATGGCACCGGGTAGTTAAAATTAAATTGCTTTATGACACTGACAAGTAGTCGAGTATGTCAGGAATACGCTTCTTGCCTTAGGCCTATATTTTTTAGACAAACGCACTGGTCTAAATCTGGCAAAATCTATGTTTGCTTGTTTGTTGGTTTGTTGGTTAGTTTGTTTGTTCATTCGTTTGATTGTTCGTTTGTTTTTTTATTATTTGTTTGTTTGTTTGTTTTCCTTGATTCTCGGTCATAGGGCCATTTCCCCTGACTAAACTATTAAAACTCATTTTATGATGTTGAAGTTGTGCATTTGTATTTTAAATCTGTTGCGAACTTTTTAGGGACAAGCTTTTTGCAACATAACATCAATCTGCATTTCATTCATACTACTTTTCCCCCCTCAGATATTCTGTTGGATCGTTCACGTTGCATGTCGACGTCCCAAACATTGTCTACCTTGTGTTAAGGAAGAGAATTCTTTATTCTCATTGGCTGAAAATGCCGAGCACAAAGTATATGTCAACCGAAAAAACTGTAAGAGATTTCATGATTCTACATGTGTGTGCGTGCGTGTATCCGTGTGTGTGTGTGTGTGTGTGTGTGTGTGTGTGTGTGT